TCCCCTTTAAAACATGTATGGTTCCCCCCCTCCATACTTCACTTTCTAGCTTTCCACGGCTTGCTACCTATGACTGAAAAAAACTTCCTAACATCCCTTTTATTCATGTGAATCTTCACTTCCAATTGTGCCTCTTGTGTCTGGCCATCTCGGAACATCCCGCCCCTTTGTCCACCCTCGTCTATTCCGCGCAGTATTTTATATGTCTTATCCTGTCCCCCCCTGCCCCTCCGGGCCTCCAGTTCGTCAGGCAGTTTTCCCTAACCTTTCTTCGTAGGACAAACCCCGTACTCTGGGCTAGTCTTTTTGCAAACCTTTGCACATTCTCTAATTTTTTGACGGCTTGACTGGTGTGGGTTCAAACTGGTGTGCATACTCCAGTATGGGCCGACGTAAATGGGAATACAGGTCTTGAAAGAATCCCTTTCTGAGGTATCGGAACGCATCCGTAGGTTTTTCCCGGGCCCCGTATGCTGCAGCAGTTATCTATTTATGTGCGCCACAGGGGATTCCGGGGTTTTAAAATCACCCCCAGATCTTTTTTTTTGAGTGAGGTTTGCAATTTTTGGCCATCTAAACTATATTGTGTCGCGGGGTTCTTTGCCCCTTTCCCCAACTTCATGACTTTGCATTAGGCAGGGTTAAAGGGTCATGGACCAGTTGCTGGACCAGGGTTGAGCCTGTCCAGGTCCTCTTTGAGTCCTGCCCCGATCCCATCCGATTTGATTCTTATCATTTAAATTCACATCATCCGCAAACAAGGACACTTCTAGTCTACCCTTCCGTTATGTCCCTTTACATATACCAATAAAAGCAAGGTCCTAGGGCTGACCCCTGTGGAACCCCGTTGTCCAGGGCCCACTCTGACACCCCCCGTCACGTACCATGACCGTTGTTGCCCCCCGTCAGATTTTCTCTGATCCATTGCAGTCCTTTTCCTTATTGTGCCTGATCCTCTGCTTTTGCAGTAACCTCTTGTGGGAACTGTGGAAGGCCTTTTTGCAGTTCAAAAAAAGCAGTCGATCCCCCCTTCTCTTTGTTTTACTTCTGTCACCTTGTCAAAAAAACTCAGTAGGTTTTTTGACACGGGATTTTCCCCCCCTAAAACCAGCTGGTTGAAATTATACACTTGTTTCTTTCCGGGTGCTCCCCACTCCCCCTCCTATGATCTTCTCCATACTTTGCATACATACCCTTAGTGATACGGGGTCTGTATTATTATTTTTATTATTATTATTATTATTAAATCAAAAAAAAGGGCAAAAGCCAAAAGGGGTTTGCAGCTACAGTCTGTGTTTTGCCTCTGTCTGTCTCCTTTTTAAAAAAATTGGACACTTTTTGCCATTTTCCCCAACCCTGGGGATTTTTGCCCATTTTTCAAATGTTTTTTGAAGATCTTTTATGGTACACACAAATTTTCTGCTCCCCTTTAAAAACCCACGGAGGGGGATTTGTCTGGGCCCACCGCCTTTTAGGTTCAAGTTTGCATAGCAGCTTTCTTCCCCCTCCTTGGGTTTTAGTACCCCATCCCGACTTGCTGGTTCACCCCCCTGCTCTGATTTCCCGGTCCTACTGGTTTCCACTGTAAAAACTTCTTTAAAAATTTTGTTTCTTGTGAATTCCCTATCATCCCCCTCAGTCGATTACCTGGGCCTTGACTGTTTTTTTCCTCCGAGTGGGGTACAACAGCTTCGGGTCAGTCTTGACTTTCGGGGCTATCATTTTCGTATTTCCGCGAGCCCCCCTTCCATCTGTGCATATTCGTTTTTGGGTCTTTGGCTAACTATTTTCCTGAGTTCTTCCCTTTTGTACCTTTTCCATTTCTAACACCTAGTTTTGCGTGTGTGTTGTGGTGTGCGGGGTTTGTTGTGTGTGTGTGTGTGGGGTTTGTGTGTGTGTGGGGTGTGTTGTTTTTGTGGTTTTGGGGTGTGTTTTGGGGTGTGTTGGTTTTTGTGTTGTACTTGTGTGTGTGTATGTGTGTGTGTTGTTGTGTGTGTGTGTGTGTGTGTGCGCATGATATACAACTATATTTAAACCCTTATCCACCCACCGGAGAAGCTTGTCTTTAAAACCCCCTGTTTATTGGAACTGACTTTTGCTTGACCCACCAGCTCAAGCAGGTGGCAGTAATATTCTGTTGTGCTTGTTTGATGTGCTGCTGCTGCTGCTGCTGCTGCACGACCCGTTGCTGTTTCTCCTGCTGCTGCTGCTGCTGGTGTAGCTGGAGTGCGTGATCAAGGAAAAGCTGAAGCGAGGATTGACACTTGTCGAAGAATTCTGTTGAGAGAAACATTTATCAGTGATGTACTCACCTAGTTGTCCTCATCAAGCAGTACTCAGACACTCATGCTCACCAGGTTTTATTCACGTAGTTCAAGTCGTCTGGCAATACTCACCTGCTTGTACGAAATAGACACGGAAACCAAACACTACCTGGAGTTTACCTAGAGGGTATTCCGGTGATCAAAGCCCCTGCGGCCCGGTCCACGACCGGGCCTCCCGGTGGATCAGGGCCTGATCAACCAGACTCTTACTGCTGGCCGCACGTAGTACAACATATGAACCACAGCCCGGCTGATCTGGCACCGACTTTAAGTATCTTTCCAGCTTCCTCTTGAAGGCAGTCAGGGGCCTATTGGTAATTCCCCTTATGCATGGTGAGAGGCTGTTGAACAGTCTTGGGCCCCGGACACTTATTGTGTTTTCTCTTAGTGTACCAGTGGTGCCCCTACTTTTCATTGGGAGTACTTTGCTCCGCCTGCCAAGTCCTTTGCTTTCATAGGGAGTGATTTCTGAGTAGATTAGGGACCATTCCTTCTAGGATTTTCCAAGTGTAGATTATGATATATATCTCTCCCCTACGTTCCAGTGAGTACAAGTCAAGTGCTTCCAGATGTTCCCAATAGTTGAAGTGTCTGAACGCTAGGACATTTCATTGGAAACGTTTCGGTCCTGGGGTCTTCATTATTCCAGATATGTGACCAATCGTCACAGGACCGAAATGTTTGCAATAAAGTGCCTCCAGAGCTGGTGACTGCAGAGCCTGGTCATACCTACTCTGGAAACTGTGGATAGTATTTGTCTCCACTACCACTTCATCTAATGTGCTCCAATATTTATATGTAATGGCCCTATTTGCATTCATCTGTTTAGTCAGACGAGGAGCGTTATGCTCTGTCTGTTCCATCTTCAGTAATTATTCAATCTTATACTCTTTTATTTATAATTTTAATGGTTTGTAACACTGTTTACCTCCTTTAGTTTATTCCATTGATTAAAACAAACTCACCATAACGAGGTTTCGAGCAGTTCAGGATATATCCACACTTAGGAGGGGGAACTTTATGAATATATTTCGGTCCGTCCTAGACGGACTTGACAGTAGTTGAAGATGGAACGAAAACGTGCCGTAGATTTTGCGTGGGTTTCACTCCACTGGGGGTTGCTGGCTCCTCCTCCCGCATCGTATGGTAACCATTACAGGACAGCAAGCCAGCACTTGTACTCTGTCTAAATGACATTGCTCACCATTAGCGTGCAGCTGATGGAAGTGCCAGCCCAGCAAGGATCCTCTTGACCATTATTATGCTGATCTCGCTTGGTTCCGAATACTCAGCTCTACAGATCTGATATCATTCACAAGGTTACAATACCGACAGATGCCTAAAAGAGACACTAGTGCAGAGTAGTAAACTTGTTACGAAACGTTGTCTTCACCAGGGGTTTTACAATCCACTTGGGAGACAGACAGGAAAATATGTAATCGGATAATGACGGTTGTAGTCCAGAGTGGGTTCACAAGTGTTATCACAGAGGTGATATTAAACTTGTGATTTTTGGCCGTCAAGTTGTCGGCCTAAAATCAATTTAAGTCAAATACTCGGGATATTTTTTTTTTCAGAGAAACCGGCGTATCCTACCTAGTGGAGGGCAACCTAAAAAGATAAAACGAAAGTTCTATCTTTTTAAATTTAGTAAATTTATACGGGAGAAGGAGGTTTACTAACCCTTGCTCCCGGCATTTTAGGTCGCTCTCTTACGAAGCGCATGGTTTATGAAGAATTTTCTTTCACTTCGCCATGGAGAATTCTGGAGATATTAATTATAAATATAATTATGCAAGCTACTTAAGCGATTATACCAAGAAGGGGGTCATACAACGCTGAGGTGATACTGAAGCTTCTTGTACGCCGTATAAACTGTATTGAAAAAAATGACCACAGATTCGAAGCAAAGGTGTTTATGTTAATCCTCTCCTTGACGATTTATGTGTGTGTGGTGTATATGTGTGCGTACTCACCTAGTCGAGGTTGCAGGGGTCGATTCCAAGCTCCTGGGCCCCGCCTCTTCATGGTCGCTACTAGGTCACTCTCCCTGAACCGTGAGCTTTATCATACCTCTGCTTAAAGCTATGTATGGATCCTGCCTCACACATCGTTACCCAAACTATTCCACTTCCTGACTACTCTGAGGCTGAAGAAAATACTTCCTAACATCCCTGTGATTCATCTGTGTCTTCAACTTCCAACTGTGTCCCCTTATTGCTGTGTGTGTGTGTGTGGTGTGTGTGTGAGAGAGGAGAGGAGGAGGAGAGAGAGGAGAAGAGAGAGAGAGAGAGAGAGAGGAGAGAGAGGAGAGATGATAGAAGAGAGAGAGAGAGAGAGAGAGAGAGATAGATGGAGATGAGACGAGGAGAGAGAGAGAGAGGAGAGAGAGAGGAGGAGAGAGAGAGGAGAGAGAGAGAGAGAGAGATGAGAGGGAGAGGGAGAGAGATGAGAGAGAGCGAGGAGAGAGCAGAGAGAGAGAGAGGGAGAGGACGAGAGATGAGAGGAGTGAGAGAGAGGAGAGAGAGAAGGAGAGAGAGAGGAGGAGAGAGAGGTAGACGAGAGAGTGAGAGAGAGAGAGAGAGAGAGAATGTGTTTCTAAGCGTGAATGTAATAGAAATCAAATCAGTATTTACATAAAATACAACACTGTTCTTGCCTTCTGGTGAGTCGTCAGGATGAGGTAGTACCTCCACAGGTAGTGGGGTGGCGAGGCAGAGTAGCCACGACACTGGCAGTAGCCAGGGTACAGGTAGTGGGGACACTTGTGGGACACACTCTCATAGTTTTGTTCGTCGATCTTGTTGTAGCACACGAATATTTTCTGAGAAGCTGTCATGGACAATTATAAAATCAATGGTGGTTTCTGAGAGGCAGTAGTGTGTGTGGAAGGTGACGCAATGGCTCAGGTGAGAGGCAGCACTGTGTCTTGAAGGTGACGCTATGGTTCAGGTGAGAGGCAGTGAAGAGTGACGTTATGGCTCTGGTGAGAGGTAGTAAAGTGTCTTGAAGGTGACGCTAGGACTCAGTGAGAGGCAGTAAAGTGTCTTGAAGGTGACGCTAGGACTCAGCAGAGAGGCAGTGCTGTGTCCTGAAAGACTCCTGCGATATCTCGGGGTAACCTTGAGCGATACAGGTGATAAAGCATACCTTTACTGAGGCAGTCGTCTAGTGTGCGTGTGTGTACACGCGTCCAGGTAAGTTGTGAGAACAGTAATGTCTACAATTTGGCCTTGTTCCAGTGTCTCATAATAATGTCTCATAATGTCTATGGTCTCAAAATGTCTCGTAATAGTTGTAAGAAATGTGTGTGCATTGTTTGCCTATTGTTCCACAACTGTTTCTGTATCATGGATGGTTGTTGATGGTCTGTCAGGTGTTGTTTGCAAACAAACTCGCCCACGGGGGTCAGAGTTGTAGAACTTGTTTTCCATTTCCACGTGTGGAATCACTTCAAAAACGTCAAGGGGTGTGAGGGTGAATATATATAAGGTATTTTTAGTAACTTGGCTAATATGTGTGCATGTGTTTGCATAGCTACGCACTCACCAAGCTAGACTGGCGAGGGTTGAATCACTGCACCAACTCAGGCTTTAATGATTCTTGGCCCCCAGAAGCCAGTCTTACTTGCTTTCTCTCTCTCTCTCTCTCTCTCTCTCTCTCTCTCTCTCTCTCTCTCTCTCTCTCTCTCTCTCTCTCTCTCTCTCTCTCTCATACACACAATATACATGCAAAAAAATTCTTACCTTTCTGGCCAACTTGATATAGATTTGAAAATACATAATTGAGAAATTAAAAAGATGAAAGAAGAGGTTTGTTCCTTAAGTTCGAACTGATAATATAAGTGGATTTTGAATCTCAAAGAGTTTCTGGACCGTCCTGATGCGATGAAAACTTTTGCTCACAGTTTTTAATCAACTTTTATTCCGTTGTCTTAATGTAGTTCCAACGCGGCTTTTGATAATTACGCAGCTTGCTATTGTTCGTTTTCCTGTCGGCTCTTGACACCCTAGGAGAGTTTCTTCGGGGCTAGCGAAGGGCTCTTAATCCAGAGAATCAAAGCCACCCTCCACATCCTTGGATCACACCTAATTACTCCCGATTCCTCAGGTCCTGTGTGACCCTTACAAGTTCAACGCTTCCGCTTCAGTGCATAAAAAAGACACACTGCTTTTGTAGAGTTTCTCCGCCGATTTACTACGATTTTCTTTTTTAAGTGTTTTAGTTATATCTAAATCTAATTCTCAGTTTTCTTAGATGGCTTTCGGGAATTCTACAATCTTTATTATGTTGACCGAGCCATCATTTTAACCTTCCAGCATCTTTCTAGCGAAAATAAGTCACTCTGACTTTTGTGGGTTATCCTGGATAAGTTACACTATGTATGATAATTGTATTTTTATGGACTTGTGTCTAAATAAATTTAATTATTTAAGCAATGGGCATTCGTCTTTACTTGCTGGCCTTCCGCGAACTGGGGCAGAAAGGCGGAGAGCCTTGCTGCCCCAGTTCACACTGATTATATGGGTACATCAGCGGCCAGGCGCGATCCGGCCAATATGGTTGACATGGTCTCTGAACTGTTCAGGTTTCCTAGGTTGGCTAACACACAAGACACAACGAAGTCAACATCATCAAGAGCATCCTGATGCGGCTAGGCACTGACTGGGGAGAGAGAGAAAACTGATTCCTAGCATCCGCAGTCCTGGTACTCTTGCTAACTGCCCTGATGGGATCACAGTCTCTTCCTAAATGGGTGACAGACAACTAGTGTGGAACAATGCTTGCGTATCTACTCTGGCTGACAGCTACATCTGTTGTAGAAGAAGGGGATGGCGCTACTGCTGATTACAGGGAAGAAATTACTCTCAACAAACGTGAGGCACTTGACGCATCTATACCAATTAGCTCAAGAAGGATCGAAGATACTTGGACTCCTGGAAAAAATAAAACCTTCAAGAGGCTTCCCTAAGGAACCGGAATCTACTCTCGTCAGTATGTTCCAGCGCCAAAGTGTGGACATCCAGGGGGAAGTGTACCGGCAGCATTTTCAGCTCTCTAGTTCACATTCTGAGGAACTGAAGAAGATTCATTACCTCTTAATTTTTTTAACGAACACATGATTGTGCCAGCTAAATAAATCCTCACATAAAAAAATATGCTGGGTGGTGGGTAGACAAGAAAAATATTCGAACTGCTCAAAGGAAAAGTAAATTTTTCCATGGTAATGATTCCTCATATTTTGGACCAGAGCTGCACTCAAATAATATATATATATATATATACTTCAGCCGTCTCCCACCAAGGCAGGGTAACCCAGAAAAGAAACACTTTCACCATCATTCACACGAAATCATTGTCTTTGCAGAGGAGTCCAGATATAACAGTTGACATGTCACTCCAAACAGCCAATATTCCAAACCCGTCCTTTAATGTGCAGGCATTGTACCTCCCACCTCCAGGACTCAAGTCCGATTAACCGGTTTAATTGAATCCTTTTACAAAATATTACCCTGTTTTCAAAAAACATTCGTCTCCATTCACTCCTATCTAACACCTTCACACATGCCTGCTGCAAGTCCAAGTCCCTTGTACACAAAACAAATTTTACCCCTCCACCCATCCTTTCCTAAGACAGCCCCTACCCCTCAACCCCTCCACTACACCCTCCAAATCAACCTATTTTCCTCCTCTCTGAATAGCCAAACCACCTCAACAGCCCCCTCTTCAGCCCTCTGAATAATACTTTTAGTAACTCCACACCTCCTAATTTTCACACTACGAATTCTCTGCATAATATTTACACCACACATTGCCCTTAGACACGACATCACTGCCTCCAGCCGCCTCCTCGCTGCAGCATTTACAACCCAAGCTTCACATACATGTAAGAGTGTTGGTACCATTATACTTTTCCTCCACGGAAAACATTTGTCTCCATAGATACCTCAAAAAAAAAAGAGTCACCCATAGAGGCAAAGACGGGAATGTATAATATAATATTAAAAACACAGTATTAAGGAAACAAAGAGATTTTTAAGACGTTTACTCTGGCAGCCTTTTATTGGAGAGCCTTTACTACTAAAACACGTGGGAGTTGAACCCCTGGGAATTGGATGATGAACCACTGGGCGTCAAACCATCGGGAGTTGAACCACCGGGAGTTGAACCACCGAGTGTTGAACCACCGGGAGTTGAACCACCGAGTGTTGAACCACCGGGAGGCGAACCACCGGCTATGCATGTTTTGTTTTCATCTGGTAAAGACAACAGAAAGTCTCGGAGAACTGCCAACCAATATGTTGTCTTCAGAATAATTTTAAAGTTGTTTGTTGCATTTCTTACCTAGAATGTGTATGTTTTTTAAAGAGTGTATATATCTTGATGTGCATACATAGAGCAGCAGTGAATATACATCTTGATGTGCATACATAGAGCAGCAGTGAATATACATCTTGATGTGCATACATAGAGCAGCAGTGAATATACATCTTGATGTGTATCAAAAAGCAGCTGTGAATTACATCTTGATGTGCACATAGGCGTGAATATACATCTTGATGTGCATACATAGAGCAGCAGTGAATATACATCTTGATGTGCATACAAAGAGCAGCGTGAATATACATTGATGTGTATACATAGAGCAGCTGTGAATATACATCTTGTGTGACTACATAGAGCAGCGGTGAAATTACATCTTGATGTGCATACATAGAGCAGCAGTTGTGAATATACATCTTCGTGTGTATACAAAGAGACAGCAGTGATATACATCTTGATGTGTATACAAAGAGCAGCAGTGAATATATCTTGATGTGATACATAGAGCAGCAGTGAATATACATCTTGATGTGCATACATAGAGCTAGCAGTGATATACATCTTGATGGCATACAAAGTGCAGTGAATATACATCTGATGTATACATTGACGCAGCAGTGAATATACATCTTGATGTGCATACCTTAGAGCTCAGCAGTGAATATACATCTTGATGTGTATACAATGAGCGCAGTGAATATACATCTTGATGTCATCCAAAGAGCAGCAGTGAATATACATTGTTGACCTGGCCTTACATAGAGCAGCAGTGATATACTCTGATGTGCATCATAGTACCAGCAGTGAACTATACATCTTGAGTGCATCATAGCAGACAGTGAATATCATCTTATGGTATACAAAGAGCAGACAGTGAATATACTCTTGATGTGCATACAATGAGCACAGTGAATATACTTTGATGGCATACAAAAGCAGAGTGAATATACATCTTGATGTGATACAATGGCAGCAGTGAATTACATCTTGATTGCAAATAGAGCAGCAGTGAATATACATCTTGATGTGCACTACATGAGCAGCAGTGACAATACACTTGATGTGCTACACAGAGCGCAGTGGAATAACTCTTGATGTGCATAACAAAGAGCAGCATGAATTACATCTTGATGTGGCTTACATAGAGCTAGCAGTGAATATACATCATTGATGTGCATACATGAGCAGCAGCTGAATATACATCTGATGTGCATACATAGAGCAGCAGTGAATATACATCTTGTGTGCATACATAGAGCAGCAGTGAATATACATCTTGATGTGCATACATAGAACAAGCAGTGATATACATCTTGATGTGCATACATAGATCGCAGTGATATACATCTTGATGTGCATGCATAGAGCAGAGTGAATATACACCTTGATGTGTATACATGAGCAGAAGTGAATATACATCTTGATGTGTATATAGAGCAGCAGTGATATACATCTTGATGTGTTATACATAGGAGCGGCAGTGATATACATGTTGATGTGTATAAATGTGTATACATAGAGCAGCTGTGAATAACATCATGTGTGTACACAGAGCAGCAGTAAATGTACTCTTATTATATATACATAGAATAGCATTGTGAATATACATCTTCGTGTGTTACATAGAGCAGCAGTGGATACACATCTTTATGTGTATACAAGAGAAGCAGTGTATACATTTATCATTCAAGTGTATACACAGCGCAGCAGTGCATATACACTTGGAGGTGCGTATATTTCCATATGTATATACTTAGAGACTGCGTTAACCCCAACATTACGCAAGAAAATTGGGTACCTTCCCTTATTCGCAGTATACTGGAGTACCCTCACTACCTCAGCAGTATACTGTAGTACCTCCTTATCAGCAGTA